TCAATTGGATAAAGGAAGACGTCAATGGAATCAAATTTAGTCAAAAGATGATCACAAATCAATTTCCAACCGAAAAGTTATGCTCTAATATTTTAGTCTCATATTGAGACCTATTTTTGGCATAGAAAGTGATCGAATTGGAGAATGATGTCTGAATCAAAGTTGTAGTCAGATGAGTTAGCTTTCCAACGCATTTTAAATCGCCTCAATCGGATATCGGAATACAAAGTTATGATAAAAACACTGAAAGAAGGTGCAGCTGTCTGTTCAAAACAAGATATTCCGTTACATAGTCCGTTAAAACAACAAATTCCGTTAGTTTTTCCGTTAAAAATAAGAAATTCCGTTACATAGCCACTTTTAATATATAGAAGATATAATGGGCATAAATTTCAGAATCTGTTACGAATAAATGTAAATAATGTAATCAATAATGTTCTCAATCAATTTATATTGATCGTTTAGAATTTCAACAATGATTATTCAAATAATTAATTACTTTTTATTCAACTATGATGAACAAAAACTATATCATTAAATATTTCTTTTAAGGGTAATGAATGTGATTTTTTTTTATTTTGTGTGATCCTTCGTTTTCTTTAAAAATTGTCGACCTCAGTTTTCCATTATGGCTATATGATTTTCATTTTCTCAATACAAGAATTTTCAGTTTTTTCTTATTTCAATGAAGATAAATCAAGAATGCATGTTCGATGATGAATAAAAAAATTATTATGTATTATTATTATTTGAATAAATATATATATTTATATAGAAATAATCATATTATTTAACATTATATTATAAACTATCAAGAATTATACATAAATAATATTTCATTTGAATGAGAACCATATTTAATATTATAAGTTGTAAAATTTACTTAATGCATGAAAAATTAGGAGAATTAAATAAGGACATAGTTGACAAAATAAATAAATTTGAGGACGAAAATGTAAATCAAGTAAGGGTATATTGGACCTATAGCTAAAAATGTAAGGACAAAATAGGTATTCAAAAGTTTATCTTCAATCCTTCCTTTTTATATATTGTAGATAAGTATTTGATGATGTTTTAAGGTACCATGCTATGTAGGATGCGTTACTTGTCTCTCCATCTTCTTTCCACTGATAATTTAATTTAATGATGTGAATTGTTAAACAACAGACAAAGTCGAGACTTAAATACTAATATTTTTAACATTATTTTATTTCTTCCCTGAATTGAAAGCGAGGCATTATACCTCTTCTTGAAGGAAAAAAAAAAAAAACTCAATATTGTGGCTAATAATATCAAAACAGCAGGATACTATAGGTAAAGAGTCTGATCGTGAACATGACCTCATGAATCCTACGTCTTAGTAATTATTGACTCGTGCACTTCCAGCCTCCGTTTAACCCTCATTATTTGGTATTATAATTTTTGAAATAATGTTTTTTTAAAGAATGAGAGATTAAAATAGAAAGAAAATTTTCGATTTATGTATAATATTATTTATTAAAGAATGTGATGTTGAACACAAGAAGGAGAAAAATGTATTATAATTTGTATGTAGTCAGACGGGGGCTTAGCTCTCCATATACAAATTTATGTGAACAAAAAACTTATATAGCATGTAAAGTAGACTACACTTCTAAAAAAAAAAAAAAAAAACTCAATATTGTGGCTAATAATATCAAAACAGCAGGATACCATAGGTAAAGAGTCTGATCGTGAACATGACCTCATGAATCCTAAGTCTTAGTAATTATTGACTCGTGCACTTCCAGCATCCGTTTGACCCTCATTATTTGGTATTATAATTTTTGAAATAATGTTTTTTTTTTTTAGAATGAGTGATTAAAAACGAAGGAAATTTTTTTATTTATGTATAATATTATTTTATTGGAAAATGTGTTGTTGAACAGAAGGAGAAAAATGTATTATAATTTTAATGTAGTCAGACGGGGGCTTAGCTCTCCATATACAAATTTATGTGAACAAAAAACTTATATAGCATGTAAAGTAGACTACACTACTAAATAACTTAAAATTTGTCCCTACCATAAGTAACACTTTACAAGACACAAAACACGATATTATTTCTTCTTCTTTTAGTTATATTTGTTATATCCAATTCAATATGCTAAACATTTGGCCATAAGGGGCATGATGACTTGATGTCATCCTCACCTTCCTTCGACTTATCACAGACAGTCTATTCAGGGTTCCAAACTCAACGATGACAACTAAACACTAGGGTTGCGCTCGTTGCGGGACATAACCCAACACCTTACGGCACGCGCAGACGACAGCCAAGANAAATTGGATTATGAGCTCCATTGTAGAATTTGGACCTAATCATTAAGTATGAAGCAATGGGAACGATGGAACCCGTGCATGCAACGAGTGAAAAAATCGCCAAAATTATTACTTCGATAATGCAATGTAATTTCCCCTCTCAATTCAAATGCATTAAGCAATAGTGAAAACAAATAGAAACTCAACAAGAATAGTCCTTTTCAAAACAGCCCATTCCCCTACTACAGGTTGCCTTTGTTTTAATGTTTCTTTGTTATGTCCTAATCCTAAAATTGACTTGCCATCCAAATAAAGTAGCTTTAGCCTTTGCAGATTCAACAAGCCCAAAAGCTGTGACATTCTCTATGGCTATTCTACCAATTTTTCTTCTCCATTTTTTTTTCTTTTCTTTTGTCTGTGTATATTTGTTTTGGCGTCCCCCTTTTGGAATAATGAAACGTGGTGCAAAAATTTCAAACATGTCATTCTCAATTGTCTGAATTTAAATAATTCACGGTCAATAATAACACAATCAAAAGAGTTGTAAAGAAGACAAAGTTATGCATAATACAACACAACACGTCTATTTTAGATGGGTACTAAACAAGCCGATCGACCCAACATATCGGGGGGATGGCTATAGGTCTGAACTTGTCACCTTTCGTAAATCATTATTTATTATCACGCGTTAATGAAATTTGATGAAAGAAATTCATCTTAAACATCTCGTAGCACTTTGTTCTTATCAGGACATGCTCACATGTTGTCAACGTTCTAAAACGCGTAATGCATGACAGTACGTTTTGATCAAGCATCAGGCATTAAAAGCATATTTTTCAAGTTCATACACATTCTTCAAATTTTCAAAAATAAATAAATTATATTGCTCAAAATCATAAATACTATAATTATTTGAACCTTATACATATTTTTCAAGTTTTCAACAAAAATATATTGCTCAAAATTATAAATACTACAATAATTTGAAATTTATACTATTCTTCAAATTTTCAACAAAAAACATATTATTTAAAATCATAAATACTACAATTACTTGATAATAAATTCAATTAGACACAAACACCTACTTAAAAAATTATAAATGTTGTTCGACTCTTTTATCGGATTTCAATTCAATCACCTCATTTTTCATCCAAGTCATATTCCGTGTTATCTGATACAAAATCATCTCCATCGATCTCCCCTATTTCAACTCGAAAATTTCTATTTACCTCTTGTAAATTGTAAGATATCATTATTAACCCCTTTCCTCATCATCACAACCATCAATAATCCAAATTGTGCATTACTAGCATCACTTACTAGTAAAATTAGAGTGAGACGGAAGAAAAAGGAGGCTCGGACACGGCGTCAACTTTACAAAAGATTTGTTTTGATTTTTCATTTTTCTAAACATCAAAACCCTTCAGATTTCTATATATAATTCACGGGATTGGGTGATTTGGGCTAGTTTGAATTTTTTATTTTTATTTTTTTAAGCCTTAAAAATGGGCTAGGCTTTGTTAGGTTAATTTTGACACAATTTTTTACACAAATGCGTGTGCATTTTGACGTATAATTGTTCATATACAGTCGATGAAACGAGTTGACCACATTATCATACGCATACCCCATACGCGAGGCGTTTCAAAAACGCATAGAGCATATGCATACATTTTAGAGCACTGCATGTTACTAGCTATAATATAATTTAATATACTGACATGATATCACACGTGACTTTACTACGTGCGAACACCACTACTATTTCCTAACCTAAGTAATAATTAAGATTAGAGTGGTTTAATAAATGGACATAAATCCACAATCTCGGCATTGTAATTTTTCAAGAAATGATCATTGTTTGCATCGACTTGGAATGCGTTTGCTTAACATAGTTCCGAATTCATCATGTAGCTTTATCATAAGATCATACTATTCCCAATTTTGAATCTCTTCCTACTCTTTAGGTCAATGTTGAGCACACATTAAAATCCTACTAAGTTTTGGACACCACCAATCAATTCGTGCTATCTCGTTTCTTGAAATTGGGCAAGATTGATGCCTCGATTAGTGGCGTGTTATAATAACGTCATCTTTTATCTCATCATGACTAATGTTACATTCACTTTCACATGTTACGATATGAATGTATTAATTACTACACCGTAATTCTGATAGTTATACGTGTAGAATTTAAGTAGATGATCAAGTTCAGTCAATATGCTCATGTTAAAACTGAAGTCCCATATAGACATTATGAATTTAATTCCTAAATGTGGTAATATTTGCTTTATTACAACTAATAGCCTCTGTTTGGTATGGATTAAAATTCTAATTTTAATTTAAGACAATGTTAATAATTAATTTTAACCACATATTACATGAGACCCACATTTTCAGCCACACTTTTCATCAACTTATATCAAAATATGCTAAAAATATAATTTTAATCCCCACCGAACAAGGGCATAATCTTATAGAGATGTGTGGAATATGATGGACCAGTGTGTAAATACTAAAATCTAATTAATCAAACAATTTATTTCAATTATTCGTTTTAGCCAGAATACTCTATTCAGTCAGAACTTCCTACAGACAATATTATATACAATTCTAGCTGGAACAACTTAACGGATTTGTGTTCTACAAAATATAATCTATTGCGAGATTAAATAAAAATGAACACCAAATATAACGTGATAAACCTCTAAAGGAAACATCGACGAGCCTCATGCCACTAGTAAAATAATTCACTACTAAAGAATAAAAAATATAATTGTTTCGATTTTGTAATTTCGTAAAATTAACAAACACAATCAAAAACAAATAAAGAACAATTCCTTTGTTTTTTTTCTTCTTCTCTTTTTGACTTGTTAGGACAGTGGAATCAAACCCTATGATATTGACTTTATCGTCACTTTACTAATGTATTCGCCCACAACCACTATTTAGATTAAAATTCACCAATTTTGACTCAGGCTAGTAGCTCGATCTTTGGGTATGATTATATCATTTACGCTTATATGTGTTATCTTCAATTACTGCTAAAACTCATTGGAGATGGTCAGAAGACTTTAGAATTTGCTCCTACGGGTTCGTCGAATATATACAGATTTTTCTCAAAGCATTAGCATGTCTCTTAATCGTTTTCTCAACTTATGTAGAGATTCCTCCAAAACACGAACGTGTCATCTTTAAGATATGAAAGTTTTGGACAATAAAAATAATATGGAATATGTTTGATATAGTCAATAATTAAATTAAGGAAAATTTTAATTTGTTAAAATAATCTTTTCTTCTTTTAATTATTTGTTAAAATATATTTTTCTTACAATTTCCCCCTTTGACTTAGATTCATTTCAAAAATATTTTTTGAAATTTTAATTTCACTTTTGTGATGGTATGTAGTGTTTGCAAAATAAAATATACGAACTATTCCCCCTCAATTAGTTCTCTCAAATAACACACAACTCCCCCTAACTTCATGAAACTAACCCATGTATCAGTAGTATGTAGGCTAAGCAAAAACTAAAAGATATGCAGTAACACAATATCAATATGAAGTAATACACATGCAAACTAAGAAGTTGTAACACTTCACACAAATCAAGCTCCCTACATACTGCAATTAGCGTTCATGTTCCATTATCACCACACGTCAAAATAAAAAACTACTACTCCCACTTTTTTGAAATTAACAGGCCCACCATATAATGTGAAACAAGTAGGCAAATAATGATATCAGAGAGTTAGAGCCAGAATGATAGAACCATTCAATTAGTCGACTTCTTCGCTCGTAGAAGGTTGGTCCAGACCGGCTACCAGAGTTGGGGTTCGGTGTCTTTCTTAATAGGAGGTNGGGCGGGGACCCCGTTACCCGTCCTCGCCCCGTTACCCGTTTAAGCGGGTTTTCCACTCCCCGTTTGGGGCGAGTCCCCGCGGGTATCGGGTTTGTCGGGTTTTTTTGCCATCTCTAAAAGTGAAACAAATAGGCAATTAGTGAGATGAGAGAGTTATATTCAGAATGATAGAGCCATTCAATTAGTGGACTTTTTGGCCTGTGGAACGCTAGTCCAGAGTGGCTATCTAGAGTTGGGGTTTAGTGTCTTTCTTGACTTTCTCAATTGGGTTAAACTGACTCTTTCTTGTGGCTATTTGTGTGCTTTAGGAGGATGTAATAGCATTAAATGAATATAGTGAATTTAATTGTACTCAATTTTTTTGTTATCACGCTGTTAGAATCTTGTGGCCATTTGTGTGCTTTAGGGGGATGTAATAGAGCCTTCAATTGTTGCAAAATTTTCATCAATCGCCAAAATTTTAAATTACATGGATCAAATGATTTTATTGTGCTATTTCTGGCTTCAATTTTTTTTTACCCATAAAGCAACAGGCTTGGGGCAAAGATCTATGAAATGGAGCACGATGCCTTTCATTCCTACTAGTTTGACTTAACTATGGATTTTAAATATTAATTTTTTTCCCACTGTTTTCTCTTTCTTTGTAGGATTGGGTTCCTCTCAAGTACCATAACGCAAGGAGTGACATTGCAGATAGATATCTACAAAAGATGGCAACACAAGAAGTCTCGCCTATTAATTTTTCTATGAGCTCGCATGCATTAAGATGCTGATACCTTCTATTTTCATCAATTTTCTACGAAGATTACGGAAACTCCTTTGAATTTTCTGTATTGGAATCTATGTGTTGTTATTAATTAATTTGTTTTATTTTATTCCAATTTGAAGGCGTGATTATCTGAATAGATTGTGGCCGGGCACCTCTAATAAGAATTTCAGATCTAAAGTTCCTACAAGAAGGTATCTCGCTACCTGTTTGACAGAATTTATCTGACGGTGATGAATACTGTTTGTACACTAATGAGACCATTTTCAATAAAAAGACATCTTTTGAATTGTTTCAGATACACCAGAAATTTCGATATGTTGTTCTTCATCTTGTTTCTAGTAATTTCTTTGCTACATTCGAATGTTTAAAGTTTGCTTTCCTTTAATTGATATATTACTATTCACAAGCATTCCGAAGTAAACCTGTTTGTGAATGTGTGGACGAGAATTAAGTTGGAAAGTTCTCTGGGTACTTGAGGTGACTTTATATTCGGTTTCTCATGAATAGAGTTTTCATAAGTATTTCTTTTGCTCTTAACAGATTATTGACATTTAGAATCATAAATTAGCACTGATAATATCACTAGATGGTAGTTTTGTTGCTTGTATGGTAGTAGTGCTCGGGGACATTTTAATTTTATTGCTTTACCTCATTTCTTGAATTACTTTTTTAGTTGAACTTATATCCTCATAAAGTCAATTTCTCCTATTATCGATTTTCTACTGCCATAACAATGACTTATCTAGATAATTGTTAACATTCCTTTGCTTTTCCATAGGAAAACATTGCATGATACTTGCAATTGTCTTTACACCTGTATATGAGTTATAGATCTTCAGTTTGTAATGTGATGTTTTTTCAGGCTTTTGATGTCTTTGCCACTAAAAGAACGGTGCGAAACTTGGCTTCTTAAGGTCTGTTGCTACTTGCTTTGATCTCAAAGCTGTATTCAAGGATATCCTTTTAGTCATTCCTTACATGTATAACATGGATTAAACAGCAATTTCTAATTTTTCTTGCGATTGATGTATGAAGTTGATGGAACAGGGTTCTCCTATTAATCGATTTGATGCTCTAAAGCACCTAGCTCTAGGTGAGTCTGGTGAAGAAGTTTTGGAAGTCCTGCAGGAATATGCTCGATTAGTCTATGGATTGTGGGTTCCAAAAAGTTCACTGGTATATGTAACAGATTCAGGAATTGAAGTTTTAGCCAGGGACTATGTTCTTCTTTTGTTTAGCAAGAACCCACTAGTTAACAACTCACAAATACCTCAACTTGCTAAATCAATGAAAGATGTCCTTGATGTATTGGCTGTTGAGAGAACCTCCTTTAGTGATTGGAAACTCAGAGAGCTTCCTGATCGGAGATTCATAAAACTCAATCCTATGGTTGCAAAGCAACAAGAGGAAGAATGGGAATCCTTGGAAAAGAAGATAAATGATCTTCTTTTTGGAGGAAGAAATGGACCTGCTACAAAGACTTCTTCAAAGTCTAATATCATAAACAATCCGGCCACGTCAATGATTTCCAATAAAGTATCTCTGAAAACTCCAAATGGGGCATTCTCAAGGATGCCAATGCCTAAAGAGACTCGAGAAGCTTTAATGAAGGCCCTTCAGAAACTTTTCAAAAGCATCAAGGTTTGCAGGTGAGATCACCTCATTACATCAAGTCCTTAATTTCACATAGTAGTTATATGTGGTCATATTTTTTTATTGAAAATAGTTATTGTTATTGCATTGACGTTTTGTATCCTAGAGCACTAGGTAAACAGTTATATTGCATGTGATTTGATTAGTATTTGACATTTTTTTCGCAAGCAACAAGTGCTGCTGGGACTTTGACATCCATGGCCTTTTCTGGCCCTGGCTTATTAAAAAAATTGAGACATGGTATAGTAAGTGGAAGAGATGAGGAAGACGGGTGGATATATGAATTAGTTCTCTATTGCACTTAGCATGGGACACTAGTAGGATTGCATTTTTGCATTAGCTGGGTTGGTGCAATTGACATGGTTTAACAAAATGCCAATGGACCATATTTAAGCATTTTTTTGTTATTATTTTATATTACTTACATTCTCAATGCAAAGGTAAAGAAACTTGTTTGAATTTACTTATTTAATTAAATTTATTCAAGCTAATGTGCCCTTTAATCTAGCAAGCCTAACTTCACCCTCAGAGTGTTAGGGTTTTCTTGTGGCAATTTAGTTTGATTGTCAATAAATGAAATTTTACTTGGTGCTATGTATGCCAGTTTTCAACAAATTTGCCAGCGTTTGAGGGACTTGGCAGTTTCCGAGTCTGCCCGTTCGAGGAGATTTGCCAAAGAGGCAGTTGTTGCAGCAAACATCATTGGTTCTTTTCCTGATGAGCTTTAGGCCATCATTAGTTAATTTGCATTTAATATTCATGGCGTCTATGTTCCAAAATCATCACCAGATCATCCACAATATGATCCATTCAGGTTACACGTGCCTTCATTTATTTTGGTTTTAGAACATTGATATTTTTCTTTTACCATGTTTTCTTTATAAAGGATCACCATTTTATATTGTTCATTTTTGATTTGTGGTTCTTTCCCTTCCAGGAAGGTTGCCATTGATTATCTTATTGCTGAAGGACCAAATGCAAAGCTCAAAAAGGCTCCCATAGTCGAGGCTGCTAAGATGGAACTTCAAAGGGATATACCTCAGATTGAACATCAGAAGGTTGGAGTCAAGCTTACAAATTAATTATGACGAAATTATAATTAGATGTTGAGATCAAATACTCTCTCTCCTTGATACCATTGAGGCAAACGTACTATTTCCCGAAAAAAATTTAATTAGGTTTTGATTAAATTTTGAGGCCTTACGAAAGCACAAACAAGATTGAGATTGTCACAAGAGATATATGGTGTGTTTGAATCTAATTTTGAGGAGAATAGAAATTTTGGAATAGTGATTGATGTGAGAATGTATGGTGGAAAAGTGATGAAAAGTTTTTGATTTGTGTATAATGTTATTTTATTTGAAGAATGTGTGGTTGAAATGAAGAATGAGAATGAGAATGGGAATGAGAATGAAAAATTAATGGGTGCCAAACGGGGGCATAAGAGATAACCACTCTAGTGTGTGGGTGTATGTGGTTGGGAGGAGGGAGGCCTAACGGCCTTGCCCTTAATCTAGCATCTATCTTACCTGTCTATCACGACAGCTTCCAATGTTTTTCCTACCTATGAAAGACTCTAATGCATTGCTCAACCTATGTTACCCACTTCTTTTAAATGAGCAGTTAGGACTTAATCTAGCATCATGCTGATGAGAGGAAGCTAAACAATGGAATTATAAAGCAGAGAAATGTGTAGTGAATATACTTCTGAGAGCTGGTTATATGTGATTTGAGGGAAGATATTTTATGCTCCTAGGAGTTCCCCCATGCATATGCTCTTAGAATTCCCTCAATAATTAAGATTACTCTTAGTGAACACCCAGCAAATTTTCCGATTCTCGTGTGAATGTCTCAAGTTAGACCTCCTTGTGGGAAAAGTATATATACATATGATTTCCTAAGCAACCAGTCCTATAGCTTCTTATCAGTTTCCCATGCAGAACCTTAGTTACTAGGATGAGAAACAGAGATATTTTACTGGTCATGTCCCCTTCACTGTCGTCCTTGGTATGTTCCAGCACTTAAATACTTAATTGACCTACTGAGCCTCTTGTCCTTTTCCCTATTATCATTGGTGGAAGCTTTAATGACTTATTTGTAAACTAATTGCTTGCTAATTTAGGTTTATGTATTCCCTTATGATCTGCAGGTTTTACAGGAATTGCGTGTATCACAAGGTTCTGCATGGGTCCTTAAAAGTGGTGATGGAAATCTACAAAAGTAAAGTTCATGCAACCAAATCCTACGTTAGTCTATGAGGTACGAATGAGCATATTAACTACGTATTACGATAAACAGAAGAATAAAAAAGCAGACACATCTCACCACAATACTTAATGGAAAATTGCTGAACTGCATGAAGTTCTTGAGCTTCTTGTGTTCAAGAAAGAAAAGCTCTGCTTATTCTGTTTACATAGAGCATTGTGATCTGTTGTGGTTTGTCTGAATTTACCCAGAAGTGCCTTCATGCTCGACTTAATGTGAGGTCCGAGTTATGCATTTTGAAAAAGAGGATAAACATCATTCATTGAAGTTATATCAATGCATGTCCAGTGCTAACATCAGTTTAAATCACCCTTGAATATTGCCTAATTGATCCTCATAACTTATTGGAATTTGAAAAGTTAATAGGTCTGTGCAATGTAAACGCCAATGTACATATGCACAAAATAAGGAATGTGTGTTTACATATACATATTTGTGTGTAAATAACTATTGAGATAGCTGTGGTACAAAAGTCATTTGTTGAAGTTGGTAAGGAACCTGTTTCTTTGGAAGCAGCTAAGGGATGTATTCTTGAGATCCTGAGTGGCTCTTTGAACGTTCAACCTTCCGGTGAAGACAGGATGATTTAAAATATACAAAGGATATAAACTACACTCTGGATGAGTGTTCTGTAATTAGACAGTTAATATATACCGTCAGAGTTAATATTAAATTTTGTTAAATAGATATGATTTCATGCTGCTACAATGTATCCATTTTTGGGTGTAGGGATTGGTCGACGTTAGCATCAAGCCCACAAGATATGAGCAATTTTCCTTCTCAAATTTGGCCATATTTTTTATGGATCAATTAAATACGTCATCCAACGGACTCTATACTTTGTACTTTCAAAGTTGCATGTCGAATATGGCGGTTACTAATTTCTACACATAAATTGAGCTATTATCTACTAGAAAACTGGGATGCACGCGCTTCAATGCTCATGACTGTTTTTCTAACCATTAAACGTTCATACGATTCCTAATCTAATTATCTGATCATTTCAAATACTTTTTTTGTGTGACTATTTGTTATTGCAAGAACTTCTATTATTTGTTTGTGGAACAAGGTAAAATGTTCATCCCTATTGTCATTTCATCCAAATAATTCTAATTTGATATCTGATGAAAAGGGAATAATTATATATGTATTGTTTCTCTTAAATGAATTAGAGAATCTTAGCACTACAACTTGACTCATGGTCGAGATTTGTGGTATTCAATTTACATATGTAAACCTGACCCTTGTACCCAAGTCGAAGTGATGCAGTAGACACCTGGTACCATCAAGATTTTCTTACAAGTGCCTTTGCAAATTAAACCTTGTTTGTGGTATCATTTTTGAAGGTGCTACACCCTTATTATACTTCTCTACTAATTTTATTTGGCCGGATCAGGTCACCTGAGTATGAATGGCTATCTCGCATGATTTTGTATGCAGTGATGATCTCACACAGTAGGAAGGCAAGCGGAAAAAAAAGGACAATAGATCTCGAAATTTAACTTCATTTACATATATGGTTATTCATTGTATAGCTAAATTAGTCTCTAAACCAAGGACCGACGAATCTTCTCCTTGTGTTGGCTATTGGTGGACTGGGCATTGTAAGACTCTTGTTAGAGGGTAATAAAAAATGGACTAACGTAGATCAAGATAAATTGATCTATAAATAGCTACTCTAACCTTTAAAAAATCGAATATTTTGAAACGGATCATTGTAGGGATCGTGATATCCCATAGTGTGGAATAGAGTTAGAGATGTTTGTAAACTTGTCCAAAATGTGATGTTGAAGTTCTTTTGAAGACAAAACATGATAGTGTAGGCATCTATATTCATAATCTTCAAGAATTACAAGCTAGTTTGATAAAGGAAGCCAAAAATTCAGATAAATTTGTTCGAATCATAGAACATGTTTCCTTGTACTGGCGGTTGTTACAATTTTGGATCCTGAATACAAAATGAAGTATATCGAATATTCATAGGATACTCGTTCTAGTATCTCAGAAGTGACAGCCATTTCAAAGTCTATTCACAGGCTTTATGATGATCGTGTTACTCGTAAAACCATAGAAGAATAAACCATGAGTGATTCTAATTCTGAGTTTGAAGAAGAGCTTACTAGAAACATCAAAGAAAGAGGCATATACCCAAACTTTGGTTTTAATTGTTTAGATGAGTATAACCAATTTCTATCTTTGCTCATGTAAAGCTTTATCCTACATAAATAAAAGAGTCACTTGGTGGTTACTGTTCATAAGCCGAGCGTAGCCAAAAGGCTTTATGGCTCGGTTCGGCTAAGCCGTCTAAGTCGTTTTTTTTTATTCAGTATTTTTATGGCTTGGCTCAGCTAAGCCCTTTTTTTTTTAATTCAGTATTTTAAGTTACAAATATTCATTTTAACTGATTTAAAATTTGTTGGAAATGTTGAAGTGCGGCAATGATAAATATATGATCGATAAATTTTAAATATCAAAAATAATTTTATATTAATTGTAAAACGTAAAGTCGTGATTGTTTATATTTCTTTTCAATCCTAACCACATTCTAATGTCCTTTTTTCGAACTTTACTTTCCTACAATTTTTCGTTTGATTCGATATTTCATGATATGAATATCTATTTGGATCGATTTAAATTTAAAAAAAAAACTTTAAATGTGATAATAATAAATATATTGTCGATTAAGTTTAAATATAAAAATTATCTTAAATTATTAAACATAAAATCATAATTTCGTTAATTTTTCTTTTCTACCCCACCATCAACCCTCATACTTACACCAATTTCTCTCAATTTCATTTTTCTTCAGTTTTTACGGTTAAAAATGGTAAATTTATGGCGTCAAAATGGATACAGAAGTAATTCAATGATTTTCAGAAGAATCCTCCTACATCATGCAGTGCTGGTACACATCTTTTAAGAAGTGGATTATTTTGGTTTTTTTAAAATGGATTTAGTGTACAGTATCATTAGAACATGCTGAAAATATATTCGACGGAATTTATGAAGTTATGTGATCGTTTGTCATTTTTTTTGTCTCTATGATAGAAGTTTTCGTTATGTTGTGGTTTTAATACTGATAGAGACAATTGATTTGTCCTAAATTATGCACTGTATTATCATTAATTAATTAGTCTTGACTATATACGTCTTGCATAGGGTCTTGGTAAAGAAATTAAATACTGGTGTAACTGATACATGTAATTGGAGATTCTATGAGCACGAGATGAAGGAAACATAATGCCTTACCTCAATATGTAGAAAAAGGAGGGCTACATTGAACTTCATTATCTCTTTAGCAGGGCATCAACACCTAATCATCTATGTCCTATCTTTTTTAAAAAAGAACGGAGAGTCCTTCAAACGTAAAGTCTAGAAAATAAGTTTTGAATCAAATCTCTTAATATTAATTTTGTCACCTATCATCAATTCAAGTGTTTTAAGTTTAATGTAACTAATGTTTAAGACAAATAAATTTTTTTTTATATTTACGCTATCATATAGCCAATTATACTATGGCACGTGCATTGCACGTGCGTCTTACTAGTATTCTAAAAAAGAGTCATTTCCACATTGACATTTAAAAGTGAATAATAATATTCATAGTAGCTAACTATCAATAATCGTTCTACATGGCAGTTTGTTATTTGATGCATTAATTTTCTACAATTTTATTTCTTAAAACCGAACTTTCATTCTTTAGCAAAGTTTTGTCTCTCCCAACCATTTCATTCAATTTGACAATAAGCTCATATTTGGTGGGGCTTATGTAACACTCCCAAATCTATATACCAAGATTTGAAAGTATTATCATTTATTTTCTTTTAAAATCATAAACGCGGAAAAGCTATTTAATTTTTCTTCAATATAATAAACATCAATGACTTCATTTATGAAAATAGTTTGTACTAAACAAAAATATAAGACAATTAAATTATATTAAATATTTAATTTATTTATAAAATGAATTCAATATTTAAATATGATCATACTAAGTGCGTGTCATCACAAGTCGTTATCCGAATCATCTTGTCTTCTCATTTGGGGAAGGAATAACGTGGAATGAGCTAACACTTAGTAAGCAAACCTCGTGCATATGATGCATGCTTATGATATATATGTGAATTACTTTAAAATGAAAATCATTTCTCAATATGTAATCGCTTTCTTTCAGTTCTTTAAAAGTTTAACATTGACATTATGAGCTCACTTGGTGTATCCCCTAGCCAATTAAAATGCAGTGAGCAATTTTTATTCGGAACGCGGTTTAGCCCTACCAATAGTACAGCAAAGCGGTTAACATTAACATTATCACTGAATATTAAACATTTGTTGGATGCACCGATCCCCTACGCTCCATTTTTCACTCACGCCTCTCATAGCATAGTCATACCACCTTGTAACAAAAACATTCGGGATACATATCTTTAAAACATTCATTGACTAATTGACATTTGGAAATTTTTGTTTCTTGAAATTTCGTGTATGTTTATGGATGCATTGACATGTATAAATATGTAATGAGAAACATTAATTACATAAAATAATCAAATATCAGTTAACGTAAGAGCAAATAAGATAATACATTTATACATATAATCAAATGACATACACGTGAAAACGGGGAGAGGTTTACTTACGTTGGATCCTCGACAATTTACTTTTTAAATAACCAATGGGGATGTCTCTAACTGCCCACAAAATCAACATGCCATAAGTCTTAAATCATTACCATTTATTTAGAAACCTCAACGTACACATCATTTATTTACATATTATTAACCCCCTAGAAATATCATCAAATATCAAGTCATAACACTTTTCTATTAAGCTATTTCATTTTATTTTACTTTATGCATCCTAAATATAAGAAGATTAACAAATCTAAAAATGTCATAACTCAAATATATTGAATATGATGTAAACAGAGCTGTTCTCCTGCCCACAGTGGGCAATCTT